AGACGAATCACAGTTTCCAATTACAGTATTTTTAGTAACAGTATTTTTTTCGTTTGGTTCCCATTCAGTTATTCGAACTAAAATTTTGTTTTTATGTAAAATTTAGTGCGTTAGATAATTCCCGATAAATAAGTTTCTCTTATAGAATTATTCAGCACATGAAATTTTAGCGTACGGCTTTTATAGATTTTTCATTTTTAATTTCTTTCTTTTGCGTATCATAGAAACCTCGTGTGTTTAACCAAAAATTTTCTTAACTTGAACAGAATTTTGGTACTTCTAGCATAATGACATTGGTGACGTAAAGGTTTCAAGTAGGTTTCCAAAGTTTATTAGTATTAAAATTTCTTTATTTCACTTCAGACAAAAGAAAACGGTCCCTTGTTAGTTATCTCAACTAAGTTTTAGTGCAACTGAGTGTTCAGACGAATCACAGTTTCCAATTACAGTATTTTTAGTAACAGTATTTTTTTCGTTTGGTTCCCATTCAGTTATTCGAACTAAAATTTTGTTTTTATGTAAAATTTAGTGCGTTAGATAATTCCCGATAAATAAGTTTCTCTTATAGAATTATTCAGCACATGAAATTTTAGCGTACGGCTTTTATAGATTTTTCATTTTTAATTTCTTTCTTTTGCGTATCATAGAAACCTCGTGTGTTTAACCAAAAATTTTCTTAACTTGAACAGAATTTTGGTACTTCTAGCATAATGACATTGGTGACGTAAAGGTTTCAAGTAGGTTTCCAAAGTTTATTAGTATTAAAATTTCTTTATTTCACTTCAGACAAAAGAAAACGGTCCCTTGTTAGTTATCTCAACTAAGTTTTAGTGCAACTGAGTGTTCAGACGAATCACAGTTTCCAATTACAGTATTTTTAGTAACAGTATTTTTTTCGTTTGGTACCCATTCAGTTATTCGAACTAAAATTTTGTTTTTATGTAAAATTTAGTGCGTTAGATAATTCCCGATAAATAAGTTTCTCTTATAGAATTATTCAGTGCATGAAATTTAAGCGCACGGCTTTTATAGATTTTTCATTTTTAATTTCTTTCTTTTGCGTATCATAGAATCTTTAATATTTTTTATGTTAAGTTCTGTTTTAAAAAATTTATCTAGACGTGATAAAACAATGCGACGTCGTAACTCTCGCAGACTGACAAGATGTGCTTTGTATTTGGAATCCGTTGTATCTTATCTCGTTCTTATGACCCGGCACGACCTAAATTTCGTGGGACCACTTTCCTTCGGTCGATTTGCCGTCGAGTGTACTCACCTTCGTTACTCAATCGAGCGCGCGTAACACGACGTCCTTCTATGCGATGAGACAAAAAAAAGAAGAAACGAAAGGAAAGAAAAGTTATGGAACTCGTGCCTTCGACACCGATCGCTAATTGCTCGTTCAATCGTGATCAGGAACAGGTTATCGGACATATGTCGAGCAAGAGTTTAGCAGGAGAATTTGGGACAAGTGTCGGCGAGAATCGCTGTGCGAGGCGGGATCTTTTTCTAAACTTCGTCGAGCGATCTCAAAGGGCGCGTTTCGTAAACTACAGGATGTTCTTCGAAATTCTCGTAGAAACATAATACAATATAATATAATATAATTAACATAATAATTAATTAAAGAATATCAGCGAATGATCGCTTGTGATAATACATTGATATTATTTAATTAACAACTAAAAATCTACAAAATTATTAGGACAAAGGTAGAGGACTTTTTTATTCAGTTTGATCTACAAACATACGACAGCAAATGTCGCCACTACATTTCATCTACCATATCTCGCGTGATTATTCACAAATTTTCTTTAATTAATATCTCGATAATTATTGCGAATATCGCGAAATGGTACAGGACTTTTATGTTCGTACTATGCCTTCACGAGAGCTTCGAAGGTTGTTCTGGGACACCCTATATATGCGCGACTATAAAAGCGCTCCTATACATTCACTCATTTTTACGACGGTTTTTACGGAAGCTCCGATACGGCAGGCGTTCATCTTAAGAACAAGCTTCTTGTACTTTACCAAGATTTCACCATAGGTTTGTTTGATCTTCAACATTTCACTTATCTCACCCGTTTACCTCTTAGAATTTCATCATAATGTATTTCGTTTACTTCAGCATGCGCAACATCCTATATATAGTTTTGCAAGACCGGATTGAACGCGTAAAGTATTGTTAAGATGCATTTCAAAATAGATTTGTGAACGACGATAATATGGAGCAATAAACAAAGTCTCAAAATTTTCTGGAACTCTGATGAGTTCACAGATGTAATCTTCATTCTCAATACTTATTGAAATGTTCTTTATTAATTGGTATCAAAATTCATTTATTTGACTCTGGACAAAGAAGAACAACTCCTTGTGAGAACGATTGGTAGAAATCTCCTATAGGAATCTTTTTGTTTTTATAACCGAATTTTTTACGACCATCCGCCAATCTTCTTTAATTAATAATTAAAAATCTACAAGTTATCAGGAAAATGGTAGGGGACTTCTTTGTTCAGTTTGATCTAATGTACAAGCACACGATGTACATTTCGATGAATCACGAAGTGGTGAGCGAAAGTGCCAATTCTCCTCTCGCGGAGGCTCAGGTGACGTTATTAGATCTATGTCCGGTCGTGTGAGGATTGATTCACTTTTGAGTAGACGGCCTCATTAGACGGCGTAACTGCACGGTCATAGCGGGAGATTAATCGCGCGCGTTCGCAAATCCATCTCGTCTCGAGCGAGCTCACTTTCGTTGGACGATAACGTAGGTAGGAGAATATATACGCGCGGAGGCGATCGAGATCGCGCGATCCGTCCGACCGATGGATGACGGCTCGTCCTTTAAATTCATAGCTGAGAAAGTTGCCGGGATCGTGATCTCCTGTTAGTCGCGCCGCCTCGCGATCCTCTTACTCGCGCGCGTGCCATCTCATAACTCTTCTCATATGTTCCCGGCATTCAGACACCTCTCGGCCGATTTCCTTTCGCGCGTGGGGCAATTTTTCGTGCGACCGAGTAGTTAATTACGTCCGACTTCCTAATGGCGCTCCCGCTGTCAGCATGAGAAAATGAGCCGCTGAAATTCCGTCCCGAATTCCCCGTCGACGATTTAGCGGACGCGACTGTCAGCCGCTACTCCCGCTGAATTATCAGGTAACGCCTTCGTGATTTTCTGCGCGGCCGTTCCCCGCTACGGCAGAGATTTGTGACGACCACTTATTTATATCTATTGAAATGTGTGTGTCAGTGAAACACAAGAGTGAAAATTGTCAACATATGAAACATAAAGGCGGTATTGATTTATTGGTATCGGCTGGAGTACAGTGTAAGCGTTATTGTGTGTGTGTGTAGGATAAGCAAAGATAAGGGAGGCACTTAATATGTATTGTCCGTCCAACCGCCCAATTGTGCGCCTTGTATAAATAAAGTAGATAGCCAAAGAGAGTTAATGCTGGGAGTTAGACCGCAAAAGTTAGTGTTGGGAAAGGGGTGATAGTAGATAAAACGAGAAAGACAAGGAAGGAAACAAGGGGGGAAAGAGTGATAGAACGCGGAAAGATGAGTTGCGAACAAACAGAAGGAAATTTGAAGAATACCGCTATCGTTATCGCATTGTAAAAGCGATAGAGGTAGATTAGAATAAATGGATTGTAGATGTTTGCGAGCTAATTTATTAAAATTTAAAGAAAAATGAAAGGGAACATAGAAATCGGTTTACACCAGTACGTTTAATTATTATTTTAGTACTTCTACGATGATCCCGTAAAAGTCTTCAAACTTAAATGAGCAAAGGCACTGAACATAATATGGAGCAATAAACAAAGTCTCAAAATTTTCTGGAACTCTGATGAGTTCACAGATGTAATCTTCATTCTCAACACTTATTGAAATGTTCTTTATTGATTGGTATCAAAATTCATTTATTTGACTCTGGACTGAAAAAGAACAACTCCTTGTGAGAGCGATTGGTAGAAATCTCCTACAGGAATCTTTCTGTTTCTATAACCGAGTTTTTTATCTAATTTTTTATCTAGTAACAAAAGATTCAGTTACGCCAATAGAGTTTTTCCATATAACGTAGGCTTCTTATAGGCCATTAATTTATGAAACATTGATTTATTATCGAGTGGAATCTCAGATTGTCATCTCTATAAACGTGATATATTAGATGTGTAATCAACACATTTAATATCTTACGTTTATAGAGATGATAATAATCATCTTCAAGATTGAGGTTTCGTCGGAGCTGTAATTCTTCCGAGGTCTCTCGCGTCTCATTATATTATACACGGAAAAAAAAAACATTCGGCCGAATTAACTAGATTCCTGATGGAATATAAACGAACCAGAATTCCGGTTGAGATTCACCAGAAATCCGTTCGAGTTAACAAGATCTCTGGTTAACCAGATATCCTGCTCGGCTCACCAGAATCTCGTTAAGTTGAGCGGAAGTGGTTCTGCTAATGCCAAGCGGGCATTATCCTGGTCAGTTCATACTTCACCAGACATTTGGTCAGTTGATCCAACTAAACTTGCTTTCCCGTGTTCATATATTTTATCACGGAGTGAATATGCGCGCGACGGCTATTTCTATACAATTTCACGTCAATAACCGGCCTCGGCTCGCCGCCCTGCGAAGGGTGCAAAACGCGAACGGCTCTCAGGGAGACCCGTCCGTCACACCCGCGCGACAAAGACGCGTAGCCGCTCCCTCGTTCCGCCATACAGACGCTTTTCCCCCATGGCTTCCCATATGTGTTCCCCGATATGCCCATGGGACCCGCAGGCATCTCCCTCCCTGTTGGGGCCACGTAAGTCGACCAATCGACCACCTCTCTCTCTTTCTCTCTCTCTCTCTCTCTCTCTCTCTCTCTCTCTCCCTCTCTCTCCTTGTCGCTCGTTCTACCGCTCTCTCGCTCTCTCGCTCTTTCGCCGAGCTCCCCTCTCGATTCTCGCACGGCCCCCTAGTCGAAGACTTCGTCTGGCGTCTGGCGGCAGTTCGAAGCGAGACGCCGACACGACGTACGACGAGTATTTTCGTCCTCGTTCCCGCGTTTCGCACCGCGACTCGAGTCACCGTCATCGCCGTCGTTTGCAGTTTGTCGTTTGCACCGTTCTCCACCTTCTCACATTTCGCGTTGCAAAACGCGCCAGCGCTCTTCTCCGCGGGCTCTCCTCGGCGAAGATCGCATGGTCGTCACTGGCGATCCAAGTCCCGGCTTCGGAGAACGTGCGGAGACCCGTTGCTGATGTGGAGGTGCGCGTAACAGGTCCTCGCGCGTATCCTTTCGCGTGGTGGCGACCGGCGCACCGGCCTCCAGCAACGGCGTTTCAGCGTCCACTCCGTCGACCACGTGACCGGAACGGCCGAAGGTCCTCCGCGACCGCGAAAGGTCCGCGCGCTTGAAAAGAGAGAGAGAAGCCCTCTCGCGACTCTGGCCGGGGTTCGCGCTGAAAACTGCACGTGACAACTGTCATGATCGTTGATGATCGTCAACGTCAATCGCCGCCGCGTCTGCAGCTACGCCCGAAGGATGAGTGACGGTAGGTGGAAATTGAAAATCTGCGTGTGCTCGTTCACGAATCTATCGCGACCGCGCGTCGACGCTGAAGGGCCGCGAGGGTAAGGGTCCAGGTATATCGCGCGCGAGCTCCCTTCCAGCCTCCGTTCCTCCCATTCAGGCACATCGCATTCATCCAGCAGCACCAACAGCAGCAGCAGCCGCTACATACCCATACCAACACACATACACACACGCGCGTACATTAAATACTCTCTTGTGGGCGCGCGCGCACGCACGTATGGACGGTCTAGAGAAGAAAGCGCGTCCGCCTGACGGGTTTCATATCGTATCGTCTCGCGTTTCGTCGCGCGTTGTCCTCCTCGGCGTTTAATATCCCGGGGGAGAAGGCAAGTAGTGACCGTGCCGTCCTGGTGTCGCAGATGCGCTCCTCCTGACCTCGAGGAGCACCGGCGAGGACCAGGACGAGTGGTGACCCCCCCCCGAGATGACGTGACGCATCGCGGCCGAGAGGAATGCCGGCGCGCTGACGCGGATCCGCTCCTCTTCCACGGCGAATCTCGTCGACGAGATGCGACCCGGGCATCGGGACGCCGTCCGGACGGATTCGAACGGTTGGCGCCCGATCAGGTTCTGACGAGCGTCGCACGATCACGGCCGACGCGTCTCACCGTGTTTCTCGTAAGTAGGAACGGCCCCGGGCTAGAAATGGGATTGAACCGTGTCGATTCGCGACCGCGAATCCGGATCGATTCGATGTACGCCGAAGTCTCCTCTCTCTCTTCCTGTTGAAATCGAACAGTGCTCGCGTTCGAGTTGCTGTTTCGCGTGGGTGCGAAGCGATCGTATCGTCGTTTGGCGTTGACTAGTGTCAGGGGTCGGTATAGGTCACGCTTAAAATTCGAAAGTGGTATTTCGAATACGGCAGGAGTTCTCGAATCTTGAGAAAAGGCAGCGCTCGTTACATTCGCCACTGAACTAATACACGAAGAAGAAATATTCGGGAATTTGTTTGTGGGATATAAAGTTTATTCCTGTGAAATAAAATTTGTCTGCGAAAAGTCAAGATTATTTCTCTTCGCGAATTTACATCTCACAAATAAATGATCAACCATCTTCTTCTAGGCGCATACACCGAGAGAAAAAATGTCTAAGAAATAGTAAATATTTATTTGATGAGTACTACATGGAGGGAATCCAGTAAGCAAGAAATCATTAATACAACGTTGCTACAATGATATTGAAGAACCTGCAATATTGTCAAATATGTAGTGTTTAATATTGTATCAAACATCATTATGAACATACTTTGACCGCGATTTGGAAGTTTCAATAATGTTGAAATAGGGTTGCTATAACGTTTTAATCGGCAGAAATATTTTTAAGATGTTGCATTGATCTCAAATAAATGTTAAAATAACATTTAAAAAATATATTTTTTGTAATGTTTTTAAAACGTTTAAATAACATTCAGAAAAATCATATCACAAAATAACATGTGAAAAATATAAATGCAATATTATTAAAAAATGTTCAAACAATGCATATAAAGTCAACGTTTCTAAATGTTAATTTAATGTTCCTTGCTTACTGGGAGACTATCCGATAAAAAATTAATAAACAGTTATTTCCGATCAAAATACCGATGAATTTTTGTATCCAATCAGGAAATATCCGATGAGAAATATCAGTTCATAATTTTTTGTTCGGTTTATCTGATGAATTGCTATTATGATTGGAAACATCCGTTTATTAATTTTTTACCGGATAATTTCTCTCAGTGTAATAACATATTTACTTAAATCTATATTTCTTTATTTCTTTCTATATTTTTTTATTTTTAGTGCACAGTTAGTGAACAGTTTCTTTCGTGGAAAGCTAAGATTTTCTTAAGGTCTTTATGAAAATGTATCTTTTCTTATTTGGGAAATATTTTGTATTAATATATATAAGTAAATATATGTCATGAATAAATATTAACTCTTTACTATTTCTACTATTAACTATTTCTTAGATATCTTTTCTTTCAATATTCGTATTTCCTATCTTCAAGGAAATCAAGTATTTACATTACATATCGATATTTACATATCGATGTATCGTTTAATTTCTGATCAATTCCATTCCATATAATTAACGAGTAACCTGTTTATCATGCTTCATGACAAACCTCTTAGTTAAATAACAGCGTTACTTTTTCAAGTTTCCATTAGCATCCGTAATGGGATCGGACATCCCGTCAAAACTTTCCTGACACCGCTCGCGATACACTCGATCCCATTCCTACTCACGACTTTCGAGAGACGCGTTTTCCCGGATCCACTCTTGATGAGGAAAGATCGAAAGTTTGGGGAATTTGTCGTTTTCTTCTGAAAGGAATTCACGCAGGCTAGAGTAGGTGGATGACTTGAAGCGGAGTTACCTAGAGTACAGTTAGAGTACTCAGTGCACTCTAACTAACGCAACATCTTTAATAAATTATGAGCCGTCCTGGTCGTTCGTTCGTTTAGAAATTACGAAGAGACACGATAATTCGCGATGGAAACATAATCGAAACTTTCATATCAAGACTTGCCGCATTCTTGAATTTGAGAGTGTTACTCTCTAAAGTACGATCAGAATATATTCTTCACTGAAACGCTATACTTACAACTGGTGGTCCAGTTCAAAGCGTAACACTGCAGTCAGTAAAATCTCGTTGGCACAATCGATACAGTAGCGACTGTTTCTATTATAGATTCAGTTTGCAAATACAAACAGTGTTGTTGCACGCAAATCACACGGAGACCGGTAATTCCATCGGCAGAAACGCGGAAAGTTGGATCTGATTACAGCGTGTAAGCGAGGTTGTAGTACGCAGATTTTGCAGTGAAATCTTTCTTCCTTTCGATATCAGCGCAAATACACGATGAAGCAGTAAAGTGGGAGCGTTTCCGCTGAAAATCAATGGGCATACTCACTGGTTATCGATGAAACGTTCCATTTACTGATTTAATCAGAAACATTTTTACGGATGCATTTTAAGGTCCATAGTAATAGTCTTGATAATTAATACTTGAAATTTGTTCATATATGATATACTCGGATCTAAATGTACAATTGAATCCGAGTTTTTTAATTGAATCACATGACACGCGTGACATTGCACTTGCAATCGTGATTCAGCTAAAAAGTTTACATATAACTCTGAATTCGAATTTGAATATTTCTTTGAAGCCGACCTTCCTTCAGTTCTTATATAATCAGTCGATTCTCCAATGAACGTTGGAACGTGAGAATCTCGATTCCTCAACAGAGGGAGATATATAAAGATTTTATTGTCCATATCAAATACTTTAATTTTTCCTTGTAAAAATTTAATGCAGCTTTCGAGTTACTGGGCAGTTGTGTTAACTTTTGTCTAGGCCCGGTTGTTCCAACTTCTTAGTAGGTTAACAGATAGTTAAATCGTACATCTGTTTTTGTCTAAGTTGAAGGAAAAATTAAGATAAACATATGATTTAACTGTCAGTTAACTTACCAGGCAGTTGGAACAATCGAGTAATATAACTCTGAATTCGAACCTGAAATAAATTTCAGGTAGCGACTGTTAATACAGGTCTAAGAAAGTGACTTGACATAGTTTTAGCCTAACACAGTTCGTCAGACTTGTTCTGTGTACATTCTATTGCAACTGCATAATTATGTACATAAGGAGATACGAACTCAAATGTGAATTAGGAACAGAGATTGGAGGGAAACGCACGATTATCCGTATTCGAGTATTCGGCGAGTCCGCGCCGACGATTGATAGCCGTGAAATTGTCGAAATCTCCATGACGCAATTAAGAATCGATCACTCGGACGGTTTCGTGAACGAAGTGATTGCCCGAAGGAACTACCGTTAAAGCGATCGTGACCTCGATTTATCCACGGTGGATTCTGTGTGCAGATCCGCGTTTCTGCAACGATACCCGCCTAAATATAACCGGATTCGCTACACTTTATTGCACCGTATGTATCAACGACACGTCGGGAGTTGTCTCGTTGTATCCTCCACGCATAAGTGAGGTACCGCGATCCGCGATAAGAGCATCCGTATCCTGCTACTTAACATTAATAGGATCAAAAGTGAGATACCGTATCGCGCATCATGAAATGAATTCCTCAATTATGCGCGCACCTAAATCGCCGGCGGATCTGCTGTACTTCATCTCATCGTGCGTATCGAGAGGCACGTCGAGAGGGAAGTTGTTTCGTTGGCATAAGTCCTTCACGTAAATCGAGACGTGGATCAGACGTCAATCTGCAAAAAGAAACCGAATGTCATGAGGTGATTTTCGCGTCAGTGTTTCGAGGAGCCATAAGCACTCGGTGTGTTTACAAACCCATGAGCCGGCAACTAATTCAGAGAAGTATTTATCGACCAATCTCTGAGACCGAGACGAGACTTTCGTGCGCACAGTTTGTGCGTGTGTACACGCGGGCCACGTGAGTCATGTGTGAGGACACATGGCGCAAAAATTCGCCGTCTACGTTCGCTCGATAAAATTGCCGGCGCCGTGCGACTTCTCGCGGCTCAAAAATAGGACGCTCTCGATCACACGGACGGCAGTCGTCCTCCGCGTTTTTTCCCGCGGAGAAATCGGCAAGCCGTGTGCACCGTGTTCCCGTGGCGATGCATAAAATTTTTAGAGTAACGCCGCCGATCGTGACTGCACGCCACGAATTATGAAAGTGTGTGAAAGCCCCGGGGAAGAGAGTAAGATGTGTGCGCGGTGCTCGTTGGACCAGTGCGTACCGTGTGTGCTTCGCACATACGCGTGCTTCAATAACCCAATTCAACCGTTTTCAGCGACGAGAGTCTCTCAGACGTTCGGTCGAACGTTAACCCTTTAAGTGAGCGCGCAGCGGCACTCCATGCCGCGAGATTGGTTTTGCTGAAAGATCACTTATGACGCGTGCCCTTTTTCTATTACGGCCTTTTGTGCTCTTCATTCACCGTGTTTGTTACGAAACAGCGCATATTTTGTATTTCTTTCCATCAAGAGGTTACTCGTTAGCCAGCTTTCAAAATGTGAATCACATTTTGCGGTAGGGAAGTTCTATTTAGCTGCCGGGATAAGTTAGTTAAAATCGATTATTTCTACTATTTCTAAACAGATTTCAGAATCAAGCAAGCAGATATTTCAGTCATTTTTTACACGTTTTTAAAAATCTTGCTTGCTTAATTCTGTAATTTGTTAGAAAATACCAGAAAATATTAGAAATAATCGATTTTGTCAACTTACTCCGATATTATTATTTTTATTTTATATGTTATTGCTATATGTTATTGTTTTATTATTATTATTTTATTTATTATTGTACTTTATTTTATTATTATATATTATTATTTTTGTTTATGCTTTATATTAATATATCCTTATTTAAACAGTTTTAAGTTTCTTTTTTAGTTATCTAGTTATGACTAGTCACAGATTTATGTAAATTCAGAAATTCCAACGATATGTATTTTATTACAAATATATTTTACTTCCTTCTGTACTTACAATTTTTATATTACAATTTTATAAGAAATAAATAATAAGTTCGCGATGCGGTACTTTGTATCGCGCGCGGCCAGTAATGTTTTTTAGGTGAGAGGCGCGCTCGCTTATAAGGGTTAAAAAAGAAAACAAGTCTGTGGCAAGAGCCGCACG